AACCAGAGCACCGCGACCTTTACTGCCGGCTTTACCTTGACGCTTCAGTTTTTCTATTCTTTTGGTTGATTTCTCTTGACACATGGAGAGATGAGAAGCTAAAAGTGGGTCATATTTGGCCAAGAGCTGTACCAAAGCCAAAAAATTTCCATGATTTTCTTCATCATTGTCCAACGAATAAGCACTTTCATTCCTATGACCTTGAAATGGCAATGTTTGCTAACATAAATGTTTAATGATATCAATAACTCGAGAAAGTATTTGTTTCCGTATCAGTACTTCATCATTATATTTCTTTATTGCTGTACTATAAAATCTGTCAAAGTCTTGATTATTCATTATACGAATGTAATCAAGAACATGTCTGCGGTGAGTGCTAGTGCTCAACACAAAATGAGCAATATAGAGACTGAGAATTTTGGCTAAATGACAACCAATTTCTCGTTATGCTATCCTTCAAGTCCGTTTGTCTATGGTAGATCTTGTTATCAAATGACAAATATTCATGTGGTTGAATTGGATGTTTGCTAAAAAAACATTTTAACTGCAAACGTGGTGGATATTCAAATGCTGATGTACTCTGTGAATTCGACTCAATATCTCCACTACCTCGAGCTTGTATTATTGCTGATGTACTCTTCAAATTCGACTCAATGTCTCGACTACCTTTTGGTTGTATAACTCCTGATGTACTTTGTAAATTTGACTCAAGATCTCGACTACCTAGTGCTTGTATTATAGCTGATGTACTCTGTGAAATCGACTCAATATCTCCACCACCTCGTGCTGGTATTATTGCTGATGTATTCTGTAAATTTGACTCAAGATCTCGACTACCTAGTGCTTGTATTATTGCAGATGTACTCTGCGAATGTGATTCAATATCTCCACCACCTCGCGCTAGTATTATTGTTGATGTACTCTTCAAATTCGACTCAATATCTCGACTACCATTTGCTTGTATAATTCCTGATGTACTCTGTAAATTTGACTCAAGATCTTCACCACCTCGTGCTTTAATTATCTCTGATGTAATTTGTACATTCAACTCAATATTGCCTTGACATTGTGGTTGTACTGACAAAAACGATATGATTAACTTGCACTTTTTTGCAGAAACTTCTATCTCTGTCTGTAGTTTTTCTTTGCGCTTTTGTGCTCCAGATTTTGACATGATGATAGCGACCTGAGTTAAGATTTTAACATTTAAAAAATAAAGCAAAAATAAAGATCGTCTTCTTTTAGAAAAAATGATATTTAGATCTCCCCAAATAAATTTTGTCCGATCAAATTTGTTTGAACGGCAAAAATTGCAAATCAAACATATTAAAACTCAAATAAAGACAGGCCACTAATGACAGATTTTTGGTAAAGAAAGGAGGGCAATGACTCCTTAGCCATGGCACTAATTCCAGTATATTTTAGAATCTTAACTATAGCTATAATTTCCAGATCTGTGAAATTTTTGTATTCTTCTTTTATATTGACTTTGCTTACTGCTGGAATTATTTAAACTATTGCATTTAAACATTAGAAAATTCATTATAGATGAATTTTCTATTGTATTCCTTGAAGGAAATAGAAGGAAAAGAGTAGCAACTACCAACTTATCCTTTTTTTTAGTACTTTAACTTAATAGGTGAAGAACATTACGATTATTAATGAAAAAAGAACATGTTTTTAAGAAATAATTTGGATTAGACATTTTATAACAGTTCTTACTCTCTTGATCTATAATCATGTTTAAATTAATGAATTTTTAAATTTTGTTTATAATTTTTTAACAATTTGAAGCGACAGAACGAAATCCTAAAGAATTTCAAATATAGACTTAATAAAAATCTAAAATTCTGTTTAAGCAAAAAAGATATACACAAATTTTTTTCTTTCAACACAAACAGAAGTAGCTGTATTAAAAAATACCTTTTCGTGTATTTTATCTCATCCTAAGTTATACATTGTCAAAGTTTAGGATTTTACTAAAATTTCCGATTTAAGTTTTACTAATTTGCCCTAATAGGGCAAATTAGTAAAACTTAAATCGGAAACCAGCATAAGTTAAACTACGCTGAGGTACTTTAAGCTGACTAACACAAAAAGTGTTATTTATGTGTTACATAAACAGTAATGCTTATAAAAAATTACAGAAAACTTGATCATCCGGAAATTTATTTAATCCTCTACCTTTCAAATCTTATCATTTCAGCCGATTAGTATGATCAATGATCACCTTTAAAAAATTATTTCGAGCGCAGAAGTTAACTAAAAGTTTTAGATTAAAAAAAGATAATAAATTTTATACAAACTAAAATACCAACCTCAAAAGAAGACTAACATCGCTTCAGTAAACTGGTTGATCAAGTGTGTTTTTGTGTTGAACTATTATTTTTTTAATTTTGAAATGAATATTTAATTCATTTTTTAATTAATTCAAGCACCGCAATTGCAATAATAGTTACTAAGTCAATTCCCTTAGGAAAATCATTGATTATATTTGTATCTGAAAATCATTAACAATTGCAAAACCTTAGCAACTCCCTTATGACAATTATATGTAAAACTCTTCTTTGACAATCAATAACGATTGTAAAGTTTTACGATCATTATTGATTGTCAAAGGAGAGTTTTACATGAAATTAGTTTTACAGTAAAACTATTTCTTTAGAAAATTTCGCACTTAATAGAGTTGAATAGTATATACAAGAAATTAAAAATAGTTTAACTTTATAATTAATTGTAATAATATATATATATATATATATATATATATATATATATATATATATATATATATATATATATATATATATATATATATATATATATATATATTACCTAATATATATGTGTATATATATATATATATATATATATATATATATATATATATATATATATATATATATATATTACCTAATATATATACTATATATATATATATATATATATATATATATATATATATATATATATATATATATATATATATATATATTACCTAATATATATACTATATATATATATATATATATATATATATATATATATATATATATATATATATTAGGGGCCCACCGTTATATATATTTCAAGGGGCCCACCGGCCAAATGGCCGGTGGGCCAGTCCGCCACTGGAGATGGGAAAAGTCAGCGAGGAATTGCAGGAATGTTGAAAATGCCAAGAACATCGGTGCAATACATTATTAATAAGTTTAAAAGCACAAGAAGAATAAGTAATATAGAAGGGAGAAGAAGAAAGAGAAAAACAGACGAAAAAACTGACCGGGAAATGGTGAGACGCGCCAAAAAAAATAGAAAATTATCGGCGGCGAAAGTCTCAAATGATCTGAAAGAAGAAATAGGAGTTGAAATCACTCCACAAACTGTCCGAAATCGCCTCCATGAATCAAATTTACATGGACGAACACCACGACCTAAGCCCTTTATCAGCAACAAAAATAGAAAGTTGCATCTAAAATGGGCTAAAAAGTATGTGGATCGCCCACAAAATTTCTTGAATAATATCCTATGGTCGATCGAAAGTAAATTTAATATGTTCGGGTGCGATGGAGTAGGGAAAGTGTGGAGAACGCCGAAAGAAGAACTTGAAATAATGTGTTTAAAACAAACTGTCAAACACAATGGTGGCAATGTGATGATGTGGCGGTGCATGAATGCTGCGGGGGTGGGAACTTTACAATTTATCGATGAAAGAATGGACCAGTATATATATAAGACCATTCTCAGTAATAATATAGGGCCATCATGCAATAAATTGGGCTTGGGAGGCGATGTCTTGTTCCAACAAGACAACAATCCTAAGCATACAGCGCGTTCCATTACCGCTTTTTTGGCCGAAAGTGGTATAAATAAGTTAGAATCGGTTGCTCAATCTCCGGATTTAAATATAATTAAACATTTATGGGCTATTTTAGAAAGAAAAATTCAAAATAGGAAACCATCGAACAAAAATGAATTAAAAAATATAATACAGGGGGCATCAGAGAGACTTGGCCTAAAGTAATGGAAAAATTAGTTAATTCTATGCATAGCTGTCATTAAAGCGAAGGGAGAGCCAACAAAATACTAATTTAAATAAAATTAATCTTTAAAACAAATTTTTCTGTTCTGGACGAATAATTTTTTTGCATTGATCTTTGTATGTTTCAATAAAATGTTGCATAATTAATATAATATCTTTTTTTTGTTATTTTTTATTATATATATATATTTTTTTTATTTATTTTATATTATTGAATTTTTTGTTTTTTGGTTTTATTTTGAATATTAATTTTTTTATTGAATTTATATATATATATATATATATATATATATATATATATATATATATATATATATATATATATATATATATATATATCAGTTCTTGGAATTAGGAAAAAGAAATTAGGTCAGCAATAAATTGCCAAACTTATATAAAGTAGAAAACAAAACTATGTGATTTTCACAACTATAAGTATCAAGCTATTGTAATTAGGGTTGCCAGACATCCGGCTTTGACGAAGGAGAACACATTAAAAAAAATTATTTTTAGATTTTGCGCTGGTATTCTCTTTCGTGAAAGCCGGATGTCTGGCAACCCTAATTGTAATTAGATGGAAGGGGGTCCTAAATCAGTGGTTTTATTGTATACGTACTATATGGATGCCCCCTTCATTGGTTTAATAAAATATTGATCAGGCAGGGTGAATAAAAAAAGCAATTGCTTTTATTTAGCGTTTTTGGAGTAATTGTTCATGTGAATATAAATTTATGTGAATAAAAATTTGAACAAAATCGCTCATACTTTCATTCAAGTAAAGTTAATCAATTTACTCCAAAACATTGAGTAATTGCTCAGCTTTGAAGTTTTTATTCTCGTAAAGCTGACCAAAAGCTGAGCAATTGCTTTTTTTTATGCACCCAGCCTATTGGATCAAAATGATTATCTTTTTTTATACTAATATTGCACTTATTTGATTTCTTTGTTAAATCAATACCTTGAGGATTTTGATGTTCAGGTTTTTCCATTTCACATAAAGTTTCAAATGCCAAATTTGTGGGACTAATTTTGAATATGCCTGTTTTAGTAAAACCATTATCATAATGCTCTTGACAACTCCTTGCTATTCCTGCAACTAAAAATATATTTATTATATTAAATGCTACTACTTTATTACAAAAGATTTTTATAGCTCAAGTGTAGCTTGATCTATAAAAATGATTAACTAGTTAATCATTTGATCAGTTAAAAAAATTAATGTTAAAGATAAACTTTTGCTAAAAAAACAATTTCAAAATTAAAAAAAATTACTATTTCATAAATTTTTTTATAAAATTTTCTAAAACTTTCTAAAATATTTTTATGAAGTCTAATAACCATAATTAAGCCTGTCAACAAAAAGATTTGATTATGGTTTATCCAGCAATTCATTTATATACAGTTATAAATGCATTAAGCATTCTTGTAAATTAGCACTTTCATAACAGGAAGAAAAAAAAATTGATTAGAAACTATAATAAATAAACGAAATAGTTGAAAGTAATACGAACATTTTAAAGTAACTTGAATTGAATTTATTAAAAATAATTTTTTCTAACACAAAAAACTCAAGGTAAAAAACCCCTGAAAATTTTTTATAAGTAAATGTCAATATTTTATAAATTTAACTTCATAAACATTAAGTAAATAATAAAATTAACTTGAAAAAATATCAATAATTTTTTTTTGGTAAAATGGCACCTGTAATAAAATACAAAAATATTGAAAGACTCTAACCAATGCATCTAAAGATTTTGACAAGATCTTTTTAGTATACTTGTTCTTGAAATAGTAGGAGAGAATTAGCAAAAAATAGAGTCGAACCTGGATAAAAATGATATAAAGCTGAAATTTTGCAGAGAGAAAGTAGACAGCCTTCGGATGAGCGTAAAAAAAAGCCCCGTTGATTGTGCTACAGGAACATCCCTTTTTGGGCAATTTGGGGTAAAAAAAAGGGTCAGTTTTGGCAGCACCAATATATAATATCATAAACTATCGAATATCATAAACTATATACCGTTAGATAGAAAATTTTATGCTGATCAATATTTATATAAAAATTATGACTTGAAAACAAATATTTTTTAAGTTATTTCTGTTTGAAATGTGTTAAATACTATATTTTTTTGTTTTCAAAACATTATAACTTTTGTCTGTGCGTAACTTTAAATGTGAAAAAAATGTGAAAAAAATGTGAAAAAAAATATATTCTTTTAAAATAACTTTGAGACTTTAATGTAAATTTCTTAAAAATGCCGATGTCCGATATTTTACTTTTTTCAAAACAAATCATCAAATAAATTTCTCTTGTTTTCAACTTCATCACTTGAATCTTCTTCGATTTCAAAATCCTTTAAATGTAAAACAATCGTATCACAAAAACAACTAATATATTTTAAAAAGATTATGTGCAATGTGTGTTCAATATAATATATTGAAAAAAGAAAATATGCTGTTTTATTACTGCAGTCTTGCCAGTGACAGCTACCACATGCAGACATACATTTAATCCATTTTTCTTGCAAAAACACATACTAGTTCCGCACATATTTCTTGACAAAGTTTTAAAATCACAGTGAGTCACTTTAAACATATTGGGTGGAGCCACATCTTTGTCAGTCGGTATTGGAAGAAGACAACCATTATCTAATTTCCATCTCCATTTTTTTGGATCTAAGTTGAAAGATTCATCTAGCATTTTTCATTCAATAACCTGGAGATGAACTCAAAGACAATGAAAATAAGCAGCATGATCTAAGGGTGGTAACTTTTCTGGCTTAATAATTCCTTCACAAACTATGTTTACATTTCAAAAATCTAACAAATAATTTAATAAATTATTTTCTCAATCTAAATCTAAACTTTCTCAATCTAAATGAATGAAAAAAAATTAAAATTAAATGATCAGATGCCAACCGTATTTTTCTTAACAAAGATTCTGTATTTTCACCAAAATTTCAATGAAAGCCTTTACTGTAGATTCTCTGACTTCTTTATTGGTTGCCCAGTAATCCGAAATAATTTCAGATACTGATTGTATACTATTCGATTTTTTCAGTAACTTTAAAAAAATAGGTTTTCCTTTTCCCAGTCACATCCTGACCATGCAGGATCAAATACCAGATGTTCTCTAAAATCCATTACTTCTAAATCCATTAAATTGATTAAGCATCTTTTATACTCCAGAGTTTTTTTTGCTTCTATGATAAAAAACCCTCATTTAAATAAATTTCCAATGATACATTCATACAAACTAAATTAGATTGACCAGAGAGTTCTCCCAAAAAAATATGATCACCATAATGTTTAAGTAATTTTTGTTTTAAAGATTTTGTTGAGTAATACGGATAACTATTACTAAGTTCTTTCATCTTAATGTGCAAATCGGAAAGGGTATAAAGTTCGCAGTCAGTTCCTTTCTCTAACCATAGACAGAGCTTTTCAAAATTTTCAAACATAGTGTGATCTAATGGGCATCCACATTGGTTATTACTTTTAGTTTTAAGCCTGAAGTTGTTCATACACGAAATATGATAGATCGCTTCTTCCGTTACAAGATCATTTTAAGACATCAAACAAGAATCTACAGCATTTCCCCAATCTCTATTCAAAGAACATTCAATCATTTTGTTAATTAATGGTATGGTCTCAACTTTAGCAATCGGTGAATGTTTGTGGTTTACTTATTTAGTACAAAAAAAAACATTTTGATTTCCAATCAAACACCTCTTCAAATGAGGATCGTAACACAGATAATGATTGATTATTAAGACAATCCACAAACTTTCTTCTACAACTATGATAGACTAGTTTTGTTGTACTATTATACGTGTTCTGTCGCAACTGGTATTTAAGATAACTAAATATTTGCAAATTAACTTATCTGGTATGTTTTCTTATCCCAAACCTTTTTAATAAACAAAGAATTTTATTTTTCAATTAAACAATCAAACATGTGTTTAATTGTATAAACATTTAATTTGTTTAAAATTGTATAAAATTGCGGCCATGGCGCAGTGGTTAAAGCACTTGCTTTATAAGCAGGAGATCCAGGTTCAAAACGAGCTTTAGACATATTTTCCCGTCACGGTAAAGAAGGAGGCGTGATCTTCCTGGTTAAATGCACTTTGGCGGTACTCTTTGACAAGACCGTAAGGTCTTCTTGGGGCACCTAAATAACGAAAAAAAAAAAAAAAATTCAGCAAAACGCCATTACTGAATATGAGTTATTATGTGCTAACTAAAGTTTTAACAAACTGCGCAAAAAATCTTCTTTGTAAGATTATTTATTCGAACAAACATTAACCTGCATAGTTCATTCATACTCCTTTCTTCGCTTAATTGAATCAATGTTTTGAGACCTTTTCCATATACTTTAATGTAACTTTCTTTGTCAAAGCCAAGCTTGTACAATTCACAAACTGCACTCATTTTTTTCATTTTTACTTTTACCACATGTAACAATTATCGTTTAAGTTTTACATTTAATAAAAATGAATAAATTCATCCATACTAAAATAGTTTCATTGAAAACAATTGTTATGAAAACATAGAAAATGATTAAATATTTTGCAGTAAAAATTTGTCTTTTGAAAGCAAAAATTTTTTAGACATTTTTTTGCCCCAAAATGCCCAAAAGGGATGTTCCCGAAGCGCAATCAACGGGGCTTTTTTTTACGCTCATCCAGAGGCTGTATATTTTTTCTATGCAAAATTTCAGCTTTATACTATTTTTGTCCGGGTCAACTCGTAATTCTCTCCGACTAAAAGGTTGTTCTGTAATATGAGGAGAACAAGTTTTTCACAACATATTTGCCAGTTACGCTATTTAAATTTTACGTAAAATTTAAATGTCATAACACTTCTTAGACCGGTGTGGCTTCATCAGCTTAGACGTTGAAAATTTAAAACATTTTATTTTGTTTCCTTGAAAAAAAGGATAATCTAAACATTTTATAGCTACCAAATAAATAAAGTTACTATTTTTTAGTTCTTTTAAATGACATAATTATAACTTCATTTAAAAAAACCAAAATAATTTTCTCATGGAAGCATAATCATAGAACTTATAAGTCCATTTAGAGGTATTTTTAAACAGCAAAAAAATATTTTATTTTAAGTTTTGTTTATTAGTTTGAATTTCATGCTATATTTTGCTCTACAATGCTTTTATATTTAAAGATGTTGATGGCTTAGCATTAGTAAACAACCGGGTTGTTTACTAATGCTAAGCTGCATCTTTTTACTGTGTCTGTCTCTATTTATTAAACATATACCAGAATTTAATAAATAGTAAATATAAGTATAAAATTATAATATATAAAAAATCATAAATTTATTTCTAGTCCAGGTTATCAACCCCTGCTAAATTAATTTTGGCAGGGGTTGATAACCTGGGGCCCTAGTCACTTACTACTTAGCAGATGAATAGTCACAAATAGCCATAAAGACTAGATTGAATCAGCATCTGTTATTGACTTACATTTTTTAACACTGAAATGTTACTTAAGTGCTATGCCGGTGACTTTTTTTTTTTTTTTTTACTCTCTGAAAGTTTTTTTGCTCCTTAAAGGTAAACTTATTTTATATTTGTTTTCAGAAAAAAATAAAATCAAAAACTTTTTATTCAGATATCATGACATTTAGTAAAAAAAAAGTTGCCTTAAAAGCTTAAAGTTATTTAAGAAATGATCTTTATTTTAAAAGAAAAAAAAGAAAAGAAACCTCCACATTTTTACTTCAAATAAGGTTTTGGAAAAGTAAGAATTTGGATAACAAAATTTGTCAAATACTATAAAGTTTAGATTTAAATTGAGAAATTTAACTTTTTCAGAAGGAACAAAATCCTCATAAATTAAATATAAATATTAGCAAGTTGTAAAATGATTTCAATACTCTTAAATACAATAAAATAGTATACTTTACTCAAACCTTCACATTTACTTACAAATTTAATATTTTAAATTAAAGACCTAATTCCTTCTTGGCCTACTTACTAAAATATTTGGGAATGCAGTAATTGAAATGAATAAATATAATTTTTTCTTAAAAATACAGAGATATTAAAAAAGTAGCAAAAGTGCTCATATTACCCAGACCACTTGGTAATATGAGCACTTTAAATTAGCTCAAAAAAATAACATTAATAAAGTAAAAAAACACCAACCTGACAATCAGAACTAATTTTTGGAATATAATGATTTGTTATTAAAAAAACTTATCAATCAAATTTTAAGCCACTTTTTGTTGAAACAATACTACTATGTTTCCCCCCCCCCCCCCAAAAAAAAAAAAAAAAAAAACCTTTAAACAATAAAAATTCAATTTTTTTTAATATAAATTACAAAAAAATATTTAGTATTGTTAAAATATTAAAATTTTTTACTATGTTTTGTTTTTATTCAAAAAAAAAAAAAAAAACCACTGCTATTTTAGGACTTTAAATTAGGTAATTTCAATGAAAAACACTGGGTAACTTGAGCATGCTCATTTTACACAAAATTGGCATCTTCTATGCATTGTAGCAAACTTTATCAAGCTAAACACTGAGAAAACAGAATTTCTGATTTCTGGAAAAAGTTATATTCCTAACAAACGTTGTTAAAATTAATGGAGTCTCTATATATCTTCAAAATAAATTAAAACATCTGGGTTTTCAATGGGATAACGATGCCAGCAAAAATAAAATTGCAACACTCCGAAAGAAAAATTTAAATGAGCGTATAACTCAGTTTCAATTAGTTGCAAAAGCTCTAATTGACAGTGGGATTCGTTACTGCCAGCCATCAAGAATTGTTCATCTGTACAATACATTAACAGTGCTGAAGCTTATATATGGTCTTGAACTATGTAAATATGATACTAATTTTCTCAGCAAAATAGACGCTGTTGGAAGAGCAGTCTTAAAATCATTTTTCTGTATTTCGAAGTACAGTAAAAATTACCTTCATTCTTTTTTTAAAATAGAAGATATCTCAACTATTCTCCTTAGGAACAAAGTTAATCTTTTTATCAGGCTGCTAAAAAATCAAACTTGTTACTCACTGATAATTAATCAAATACAGGAAACACAGAATAAAAAATCCTTTACAAACGAAGTATTTGATGCATGCAACACACTTGATTTAAATTTCATACAGTGCATGTTAAATGGCAAAAAAGTTAAATTGACGCAACCCATCGTACAGCTACAAACTAATATTATGCTAATATTGAAAGAAACGTTCCAGTTTTGGAATTTAAAAGAAAAGAGAGAGGCGTTTAAAATCTTGATGGAGAAGAATGTTCCTAGAACTCTGTCCAAATAATATGTGGAAAACAAACCGGCTGTTTATAAGCATTTATTGCTAACAACTACAAGAGCCGTGTTGTTTTAGCTGATTTTTAATTTATTGTTTGACTATTTAAATATTATTTTACCTGTTATTTACTATCGGGTGATAAAGAGAAAATATAATAATAATTGTTTTTCAAGCAAAAATGGATTGGATTTTTAGCTAACATGTTTTTCTTTATTAAAAAAAACTTTTTTTTTTAATTTAGCATCAAAATTACGCGCCACAGATTTATTCATGTATGAAGATATTATTTTAACTATGCTAAAAATTAAATAGCGTTTTAATTAGACAATATCAGTTAATTACTGCATATGAATTTACTAATGGTACAGGTTCCTGTTATCATAACATAAAGTTGATTCAAAAAATACAAAGCAACTTTAACTTCACTGCTTACATCTTAGAAATTTTTAAGTATTTGCTCATATAACTCTACCCTATACATATAATTAAAGTATTTTATTATTAGTGCTATTGCAAAATATAGTTTAAGAATCATACGCTTGCAATAACTTGGTTAGTTTGCTTCGTTAGCTTAAAAAAAAAAACCTTCAAGTTAAATCTATTATTCAATTTTTTTTAATCTTCAATTTAACGTGTTCTAAAATAATCAGAAAGAAATGCTTTGAGACCCTTTGAGATTTATTGTTTTGATTTAAAATAATTTCTCAATAAACTATAATTATGTATATAAATTTTCAGAAATCTCTTCTGATAATATGCAATTGCAAATTAATGTACATGACACAAGTCAACACTATTAATGTACATAGTCCATAAAAAGTTACTTGTATTAACATAAATCTATTTTTTAAAAAACAACTTATTTTTGGATCTTGATGCAATCCTAAATTCTTTTTATTTAATAAACAAAAAATAACTAAAAATAAACTCCAAATTATTGCTACTGCCTAATAGACACTTTGTTTAAAAACTTTTTGCCCTGGCTGTTAAAGTACTTTTCTTTCAATACCTTAATGGGCGATATAACTAAAAAAGGTTATTCTTCCTTAATGGGCGATTAAATTTAAAAAAATTGTTAGCTTAAAAATAATTATTATTTTGTTGACTTTATAAATGAAATTACTGAGAATAAACATAATTAGTTGACTGCTATATTTACAAGTCGTAGTATCTGTTAACTAAAGGAAGCTCTTTTGTTAAGAGGCAAAATCTCCTTATTAAGAAACGATATAATGCTCCATTATTATTACTTGTTTAACGTTATTATTCATTTCACTATAATAACTTATTTCTGGGTATTCTTGAAAACAATGTTAATTAAAAATGTTTTTATTTTTTAGTCAGGTATTTTTAAGTCACGTTTGTTTTATGTTTTGCTTTTAAAAACATTTGCTTTTTATGTTTAGTTTTTATCTTATCATTACCAATTTTTAAATTGTTTTTGATAAGAAAAATAAATTAAAAAAAAAAATCTTAATCAAACTTGAAATTAAATTTATTCTGTTTACTTCATTAAATATTTTTTTTGTCATGTTAATTTATCAATTTTCTAAATACATAAGCTAAACCAAAAAAAAAAAAAAAATTTAACCGTTATTTTCTGGAAAAAAACCTAAATGAATGAAAAAAAGACCAAAAAAAAATCTAATATTTCATCAGGTGTTTACATGGAAAAATGGAAATATGACTAGTTGTTTTTTATTTATCGTTTTTACATTCACTAGTTCATTTCTCCTATCTTTTCCTTAATTTTGATTTTGTAAATTAAATAAAAATACCAAGATTTATTTTACCTTGTTTGCAATTACAGTTATACTGACGTCGATTTCTCCCAGCACAAGACGGGTTACATTCACATTTTCCGCATAAATCCAGTGTTAAACTGCAACTTTGAGAGCAGTTCGGCTAAATATATATAAAATAAAGAAAGTTATACTGAGCAAAATAAAAGTTAAAACAAATTTTTTTGTTCTAAAAAATTTGTTAACAAACAGCAGCAATTACAATCTTAACCAACATGGCTGGACTTGAAGCTAAAAATAGCTCTAAATTAAGATATTTTTATAAATATAAAACAATCACGATGTTTTAGAAAAATTGATAAATTTTTAAATATGAATTGATAAGTCTTTGTTTATCTTTGCTTTTTGATTTTTTATATACTTTTCGATGTTTTATTAGAAATTTTCTTTTACTTATTCTATATGCTGGTTTTCTTATTTTTACTTTACTAATATAAATGTTGGTCTACATCTATATAAAGTTCTGTTGAGAAGATCCTCATAATCTTTTATGTCAAAATCTTTGGTGGCGCAATCCGCGTGATTATTTGCCACTTAATCTTTTACTTTGTTATCATTTACCTGATATAGCTGGCAAACTTTGTAATTTGGTAAAACTATATTGTTGCTTTGTTTTTAAATTCTTTTATTTCACAGTCTTCGTCTCTAATGTCATAACACTTTTCACTAAGATTAAAGTAAATTACTGAATGCATTATTAAATCTTACATATTTTCAAAAAAAATTTAAATGAAGCTTTAAGATTTAAATTAAATTTTAAAGCTTCATTTAAATTTTTTTTGTACTTCGATTGGGGCTTCTTGTTTATGCGTTTTTAAAACGATTTTGGAACATTTTCTTTTGAGAGCGATAATGTGGTTTTTCTTAATGCTTGTCGATGATTCCTTTCTTTTAACATACCTTGTAAAAAGAGACTTTTTTAGAACAATCATTTTGTGCAGAAAAATATAGTGATTCACATTGTTCTTTTAATTTTTCTCGAAGTTTGTTGATTCAGAAGATAACTTCTTTATTAGAAATTAACTTTTTTTATAAGGTAAGTTTAAAATGTTATATCATTTTAATTAGATCAGGTTTTTCTAAAGTATCAAGAAGTACGAATATCAGACTGTATTAGTTATGATCTGTAGCAAGATGGTTCACTATTTCTTAGGTTTTACATTAATATGCCAGGTACTGTGAGACGACTATTTTTTGAAATTAATTTTTGTTTTGTTTTCAAAAACAAAATTGTTGTTACCAGCTATGACTTTTTTAAACCCACTTTGTGCCAAACTTCAACCTAATCAAATCTAATATAAAATCATATTTTAATAATATGAAGACTACCTTTTTGCTTAATATATAACAATATTATATCTATTTTTGTATTTGTTTATATATAGTTAAAATTTTATTCATACTAATTAATAATAAAATATATATGTAAATAAATAAACTATATACTATGTCATGTACTAATGTCATTACCTAACTATAATTTGTCTTTAAAACCATTGAGCACTCTATTTGTAGAATAAACTAACATATATATATATATTTTTTTTTTAATTATAATAGACATATGTATGAATATATATCTGTTATATACATAATATATACAAAGATGTATTCAGATTATATGAATCAAATTATAATATCTGAATACAAATTATAATATCCATATGAATCATATTATGATATCTAAATAAATTTCTGCATACATTTGTATATAATATAATATTTTTAATTTATTTTAAAATTTTAACATTTTTGTATCAGTTTGTTATGTTTCTGTAATTTTTTAAAAGTTTTTAGAGGAACAATATATTCAAAATTTGGTTATAGAAATGGATACTTTTGAAACAGCTATGACTTCACTTGAGTTTGACAATTATATTGCATTTTTTAAAGCTGATAATACCACTATTCTATTTAAAAACAGTTGTGCTATCTATATATTTTTTAGAGAGTAAAAAATTTTTTAATTCTGCAAATAAACTGCATAAAATCATGAAATTAAAAAATACTAAATGCACAGTTAAAGTTGATTTGGACAAGTTAAATAGGCTTTGTAAAGACATCCAAGTTCTTAAAAAAAGGTTAACCATTAATTGGAATTCTATAATTGAAGTATTGGAGAAAGAGTTTATTGTTATTCCAGCTAAATGTAAAACAAACATTTTTTTGTTAAACATCAATGATGTTTCTGATATAAAAAAAATTTAAGACATGTGATAAATCAGAAATGAAAATGAAGTGTAAAAAATGTGTGAAAGTTAATAAGACAACAAGTGAGATTACTTAAGCATGAAAATTTTAAATTTAAATGAAAACTAAATTTAAAAAAAAAAAAAAAACTATCAGCAAACTTTGTAGAAGAAAAAAATTTATAAAGAATTTATCACACTGTATGGTATCCAAACAAAAACAATGGGAATTAAGAAAAATAATAATAAGTAAAATTGTTGAAATATCTTGTTTGCAGTTGTTAGATTTAGTGCGGTTCTCCTACAGAAATATTAACAATAAAAACCACGGAATCAAGACACATTTGTTATGATATAACATTTGTGTTATATCATAACAAATATTTCTCACTGACACTGTTCTTGGATTTGTGAGTTTTCTAGCTATGTTATAGTATACCACAAAGCATTTTTATAAAGTGCTTTCTAACATTGTTTCAAACTATATGGTCACTGATTCAGAAAAAGGGTGTTTTTGTTTCTTGACCTTTTAAAAGGTATAAAAGGTATCAATTTGTAGTTGTTTTTTTATGTTTATCGATGTTTATTTATGTGTCTATTGTGTCTACCAATTTTATGTTGTTTGTTGAAACTATTTCATAGAATATTTTAACCATCTATATCTCTTTTATTTGCTAAACAAAAGTTTTTATTTATATGTTGTTTACTTTTAATTCTCTAAAAAAAAAATATATATATATATATATATATATATATATATATATATATATATATATATATATATATATATATATATATATATGTATATATATATATATATATGTATATATATATATATGTATATATATATATATATATATATATATATATATATATATATATATATATATATATATATATATATATATATATATATTTAATTATAACCCTAGTCAACAATGCTAATTATTTTTAATCAACTGGTTATCAAGAGTTAAGCATAATAACAAAAAGTAAGCATAATGACAATAAGCTAAATGAACAGTTTAAAGATGAAGTGCAAAGTCCTATGGCTTACCTTTTTGGCGGTGCACTTCGTTAAGTAAATTAGTCAATTATTTGTCTAATTTGTGAACTGAATAGCCAGGGCAAATTTACTGACAGTTTTAGCATTTATTCTTACATATACTCATGTAAAAAACAAGATATAAATTTATAAAACTATTAATTTGATGAATAAAGTTTTTTTCTTTAACTAATTGATTTATATTTCTGGTTTAAAAATGTTAAATATGGGGGAGAAGGGGGGTAGTGAGAGTTTTCCTCCAAAATATTTCCCCAAATAGAATATTTCTCTCCCGTTGACCATTTAAGACACTAAATGTTAAGAAAATTTTTGAAAATTAAATTTGCTAATATTAGACAATCTGTAAAAAAATTTATTTATGCCGCAATTCAGAAGTTTGTTTATCTTAACTTTCACATTTTGAAATCACGCTTCTTAAAAATTTAAGCAAACGTGTTTTAAAACATTTTATAAACGTTGTTTTTAAAAGCGCGTTTTCAATTTTTATACCGTTAACGATTTTTGTTTTGGTTCTTTAAAACTGAATAACTTTTTTTCTTTTCATGATATAATCATAATAAAACCATCTTTAGAAAGATAAAATTAGGCTTTATTTATCTTGGTAATTTTTTTAACATAAAGTTCAGTTTGAAATTTTGATCGAAGTGCCTAATTTAATATTCTAAATCATCACTATTATTATTATTATTAAGGTTTACAAATTGGATTTGTATAGGCATGAAATGCCTGTCAACCTGTCTTATGATTACTATATAAATATACTAATCATAAATTGTTTTTTCTTCTTTTAAATAATTGTCGAGTTTGTTTTTAAAATTGCTCACGGAAGTAGCATTTACAACGTCATCTGGGAGGGAGTTCCATTTGTTGATTACTCGTAAGGTGAAAAAGTATTGACGAGAAGCTAGACGAGAATAAGGTTTTTCTAGTTTAAATGAATGTCCTCTTGTAATAGAATTTATAATTGTTTTTGGAAAGATCGTTTGACAGTTGTAGTAGTTGTTTAGCCATTTATAGACGTTTATTAAATCAGCCCGGATTAGTCTGTATCTTATAGTTGTCATATTAATTTTCAATAGTCTTTGGTGATATGTTAGACTTTTTAATCCATGAACTGATTTAGATGCTCTTCTGAGTATATTTTCAACTTGTCGTTTTTCTTTCAGTAGACGAGGGTTATATACAGAACCACAATATTCTAAATATGGTCGTACTAGTGCTGAAAACAGTCTTTTAAAACAAAATGAATTTAGATAAGAGAAAGATCTTTTTATTAGAAATAGCATCTGCATTGCCCTATTAACTTGAGTAGAGGTATGTTTAGAAAATAGCAAGTTATTATCGATATGTACTCCGAGGTCAGTTTCTGAGTTAGTAGATTTGATATCAATCCTTGTTTTCTTCACTGGATCGTACATAGAATAGACAAGATGTTTATTTTTATGACCTAGGTGTAAAACTGAACATTTTTCTATATTAAATTTCATCCCCCATTTAGTTGCCCAGTCAACCAAGATATCAATATCATTTTGAAGTACGGTGTGTGAATGCAAATTAGTAATAGGGTAAAATATTTTTGTATCGTCAGCAAAAAGTGCTGCATTTGAAGTAATTATATTGGGAATATCGTTAACGTATATAATGAATAATAGAGCTGAGAGAACAGAACCTTGGGGAACTCCACTTTTTACTGATACCCAATCAGAGTAATTACCATTTATCATTTATCATTATTTACTATTGTTAAGGTTCATATTGTTATACTTAAAAAACGTTATGAAAAAAACTAGAAGATAGGATCAGCTGAAACTTTACAACCCAACAAGCACATAGCGTTATTTCAACGTT